ATATATATTTACAGGTATGAGGTGGTTGGACGGCAGGTTAAAGGCCTGAGCGATGGCGACAGCCATCTCATATTTGGTCATCTTCTCTTTAGCAGAGAAATGAAAGATTCCTCTGATGGACGGGTCCTGGAAGACAGACAGATAGAAAACAAGTGGTGAGACAGGTAGAGGAAAACACTGATGACTAATAATAATTCATAAGTGATAACTACTGATAACTGATAAGACAAAAGTGACGTACCGATCTGTCGCGGTGTGTGCGTGTGTGTGTGCGTGTCTGTGCATGCGTCTTTTTCACAGCGGCAATCTTTGTCAATCGTCCTCGGAAGAGGTCCGTCTATAATTTTGTCAAAGATGGCTGCTGTGCATATAACCCATTGACTTACCTCAGTTTTGTTGATTCTTTGCTGTATTGCACCCAGTTGTCTTACAATGGGATATTGATTTTTAGGGGTTTTTTAGGTTTAAAAAAAAAAAAAAAAAAAAAAAAAAAACAGGTAAACTACACAAATTCATGTCAGTCCAATTTAATCATTTTTGTTTGACTGTAAAAAATAGAACTGCTTGTGTGTTTTAACTGCAGGTGGTTGGGAGCAGAGTTTACTTCATGTAACAACTATAGTGAAAACAATTTAAAGTGCACGTGAAAATTTAAAGTGCAAAGAGAAAACTTGCTCTTATTTGAAATGCTTAAATTATGTTTTAGAAAAGAAACCAAAATACAAGAACAGGTGATTTTCACTTTTTCTCTCATTCTTTTGGCTTGTAAACAAAGTCCTGCAAGTTATCAAAGGCACTCCTTTTCAAGGGTGCTCTGGGTGCTTCAGCAGAGGCTGTGGAGCTCACCCAAATTTTCTGCTCACATGTACGGTCTGTCATCGAGGGCGCCGTTGCAGCCGTAGCAGTTGTCCCTGGTAGCATGGTGTTATGTTTTTTAAAGCTCGGATTGCAGCGATGTGATTTGGGTCAGTTTTGTGACGACGGAAAACCTTTTTGCCACTGCTTCCATACATCAACTTCTTGGAACAAGCAAAGCAAAACGCCGCACCTGGCTCGTTCAGTTTCTTGCACCATGTTTTTAATGGTTTGCCCGCAGCGCCCTCCTCCTCGAGCCATGCCCACCTCCATTTATTTTTCACCCCTCTCTCCAGTTCTGCTGTATTAACACCGGGTTTAATATATTTTGCTTCCATCTCTCTGCCCTGCTCTACTCTACTTCAACGCTACTTAGCTCTCTCTCTCTCTCTCTCTCTCTACTCTACCCATAGACTACATCATCCACCTGTTGCACAAAACGCACACAGCATGCCATTTTCTCTCAGTGTCCAATAGCTGGCGGTCAAGCTAACACAAGCTAATCATTCAAACACAGTTCAATTGTCCATTTCTTTTGCACATTCACCCACACTTATTTGGATATCAGGCTGTAATGGACACCTAAACAACATGTACTTGGAAGTAGTGTGTGTTGAAACGCTGTGTGTGCGTGTGTGTGCGTGTGCGTGTGTGCGTGTGTGTGTGTGTGTGTGTGTGTGTGTGTGCGCGCGTGTGCGTGCATGTGCATGCTGTTTTTAGACCCTCCCCACCCAGCTCTTATTGGCTAGCTGAGTTTGATAACACTATACTATTTGTGGAACTACCCATGTGCTTCACTGAAAATCAAAACATGATTCGTTAAATGACAACTTATGCCAAGTTGTTGCCACAAAAAAAAAATCCTAGAAATGTCCGTCAAGCCAGAAATCCAACACGACGCCAGAGTACTTTAAGCCCTGAGCATACCTGTCTGTCTCTCTGTCAAACAGACAGTGGCATGCCTGTCCGTCTCTCTGTCAGACAAACCGTAGCATACCTGTCTGTCTCTCTGTCAGACAAACCGTAGCGTACCTGTCTGGCTCTCTCGGACAGTTTCCTGCAGACGGCGGCGACATCCCTGGCGTCAGTAGGAAACCTCTGCAGACAGTGATCCAGGGTGCAGCTCTCTGACGCCTCCTGAACTTTGACCCACAGTGATGTCACCACGCTCTCCGTCACTGACTCCACCTCCCCGAACAGGACGGGCACCCGCAACACCACGGCACCTGAGAGACAGACAGACAGACAGGTGAGAGACAGACAGACAGACAGGTGAGAGACAAAAAGACAGACGACAGACAGACAGACAGACAGACAGGTGAGAGACAGACAGGTACCTGGACAGTGTCTCAGTGTCTCCCTCTCTCCCTCCAGTTTACTGCGTCCGTAGACGTTCAGGGGATTCGGACAGTCGTCTTCTCCATATGGAGGATTCCTCCCATCGAACACGTAGTCAGTGCTGATGTAGAGGAAGAACGCTCCACACGCAGCTGCACGATAAACACAGAGTGATGACATGACAGAGTGAGGACAACCAGGGCCCCATTTCAGAGAGCAGGATCAGTCAAACTCTGAGTTTGTTCAGCCTGAGATGAAACTCTGAGTTTTCTATTTCACAAAGCCAGTTCAGTGTAACCCTGAGTCAGTTACTATGGCAACATACTCTGCTGAGTCACAGGTTTGCTTCATGTCAGCCTGAGGCTGAGCGTGTAGCAGGAAGTAGAAACATGGCGTGTCCTTTAGTGAATGAAGTGGTGGAGGTTGAGGCCCAGTGTATTCAGAGGCTGTTGTGTAAGGAGAAGGTGATTAGAGCCTGTTTGGATGTCTCCCTGGAGGAGTGTCTATATGAAAGATACTGTTTGACCTCACACTCTATCATTTATCTAACAATCTGTTCCACCCACATATATCACATATTACACATCCTGGATTTACATTATCATCACAGCACATTTTATGCATTGTCCTTTGATCCTTTTCTTTATAACATCAGAGACACTGAATACATCAGAGAGACAGCGGTTTGTCAGCCCGTAAGAAAAGTGTCTCTGGCTCTGAAAAGACTTTGGACCCTTGTTGTGGTTTTCCCTGGACATAAAGCAGGGAACAAAAGCCCAATAAATAATCTTTAAAAAAAGAACTGCAGGTTTGTCAGTGTTAATGAGAAAATAATCTACGTGGATACACGATGCAGTGATTCATGAATACTTTTCAAATATTCAAAGACTGGCTAATTGATGGGACTCAACATCCCATAATAGCTCCATGTGAGAATAAAGGAGATTACGTGAAGTCATTTCACAGCAGTTTTTTTTTTTTTTTTTATTTAGAGGACAGTGCACATTAATGAACATTGCTGTAAATGTGCCGGTGTTAGCCAAAGGCTAATTTTCAACTGTAGTTCTCCGGCATGATGTTAAAAAGACCTCAGGCCATTAAAAACACAAAAACAGGAACACAGAAGTCATAACATATAAAACAACAAATTGCAAACAAAATCAGGGACATATAAGTCATAATATGTAAAACAAATAATAAACACATGGACAATAATTCACAACGAGAAACCAATACGTACAGTGCAATATGATACAGTGCAAAATAGTTGATCGAGAGGCTATGGATAGTGAATAGACAAAACAATGCATGTCCATGAGTCACTGGCATAGTGTATATGATATATGAAGTTATAAAGTGCTGCAGTGCCCATAAAAGTCGTCACAGTGAAAGTCTAAATTTAATTAAATTAGAATAAGTTAAATGAACCTCAGCCTAATATTGACAGAATGAATCACATAACAGCACTGTACAGGAAAGGCCAAAGCAGACTCTACCTGGCTGAAGCGACTCAGGTCTTTTGGAGTGCAGGGGGCACTCCTGAAGACCTTCTTTGACACTGTGGTGGCATCAGCCATCTTTTACGGAGTGGTCTGCTGGGGCAGCAGTGTCTCGGCTGCAGATAGGAAGAGACTGGACAAGCTGATCAAGAAGGCCAGCTCTGTCCTGGGATGCTCTCTGGACTCTGTGCAGGTGGTGGGAGAAAGGAGGACGACAGCCAAGCTGTCATCCCTGAGGACTAATGACTCCCATCCTCTGCAGGAGGAGATAAAAGCTCTGGAGAGCTCCTTCAGCAATAGACTGATTCACCCAAAGTGTGTGAAGGAACGCTACCGCAGGTCCTTCCTGCCTGCTGCTGTCAGGCTACATAACCAGCGCTGCTCACAGTAGACTGCACCATGGACACTATGGACACTTTATGGACACTTTATTATATCAGCATTGCTGTCCCCCATGTTGTTGTTTATTTGCACATTCAATATTCACTTTGTACTAAATATGTTCACTATAATCCATTGCTCACTTTTTATCCCTTGCTCATCATCATCATCATTATTATTATTATCATTATTATCATTATTATTATTATTATTATTATTATTATTTATTGCCGTTTCTTGTATTTTTTGTACTTTTTTCTGCATGCCTAGTTTTTTAAGTTTTTAAATGCTGAAATCTTTAATCTGACTCTTTTCTCCTTGACTGCTGTAACACTGGAATTTCTCAATTGTGGGATCAATAAAAGGTGTATCTTATCTTATCTTATGAAGTCAGTCAGTATATGAACACTGTTAAGATATAAACATGTTTCTGTATGTTAGACACATGACCTCATCACATGACATCACATCACCTCACATTACCTATTAACTGTGCAGTCTATTCCCATCACACCTTACGCTGTTCAGCTACAGCTGACGCAAGAGATTTGTTTTCATGTCTTCATTCACGTCATTAAGATCTCAGATTCAGTTGGGATCAAACAAGTTCTGCTTCCTGTCTCTGAGAATCATGTTATCTGCACTCTACTGATGATGTCTGGGTTAGGGTTAGGTAACGTGCCTCTCTCAGGCTGAACATACTCGGAGTTAATTGAACTGATTCTGATCAGCTGTTCTGTTTCTCAGCTCAGGCTCAGTCAACCCGGAGATCAGGCTCAGAGTTTGTTGAGCCTGCTTTCTGAAAAAGGGCCCAGAGGATTATTCCAGGTAGGAGGTTCAACAAACTCTGAGTCTAATCCTGAACTCTGACTTGACTTACCCTGAGCTGGGAAACTCTGAGTATCCGGTTCCAGAACAGCTGATTTGAATTCATTCAGTCAACTCTGAGTAGGTACACCTTGAGTTAAGCACGTGCACAACCACAATAAAAAGCCATCATCAATGGAGCCCTGATACCTCGAGTCACCATGGCAACCGGAGAGAAAAAGCAATCAACTTATTTTACACCTGTGGAATTGGAGGTGCTCATGAATGCCTACAAAGAATATGAGCATATATTTCATAAACAAAGTAACAGCACTGAAGCTGCCAAGGAGAGAGAGGCAGCATGGGAGAAAACTGCTGCCAGAGTCAATGCGTACGTTTGAATGCACTAGTTCATCAATTTACATTTAACCACGCTTAATTAAAATTGTAGCTTACAGGTGAAAAAGTGGTTTGGAATAAAATCTGATTTTCATGTAGGTTCAATCTCACAGGGGAAAAACACACTTGGAAGCAGCTTAAAATGAAATATAAAAACATCATTCAAACAGGAAAGGCATATTTGACTTGGCCATGACTGTACCTTCCTTTAGTTTGACTCATATTTGATTTATTAAACAAAGTAGCTTCAATAACCTGTCATTCAGTGGCTATGTCATTATGTACTGTAGGTCACTAGTAATTTAAACCCCCCAAAAATACTGTTTCAACTTGTGTGAGTAACATTTGAGTTCTACTCAGCCAACAGAAAGAAGGCAGAGGCCACAAAACATCACCAATATCATATAAAAAGCTACCGTTCACAAAAAAACATTTGCTCTGATGAAAGCGCACGTCTGCTGTAGCAGCCCCTGGCCCAAACGAACAAGCAGACTTGTCAGATTTGATATGTGTGGCCGGTAAATGATTGAGTCTAATGAAAAACGGTATGGTTCAAACAGATATTTATTGGGGAAAGACAGCACATCTAGACGGGGTCTGAAGATCCTCTCCCAGCGTAAAGCATTGTGAATTAATTCTTCCTACATACGAACAACCCATGTGTGTCTGCCAGCTTGCTTCAGGCTCAGCAGTAGGGAGGAGACAGGGTGAACTCAGGGTTTCTTATAGAAAACCTGCCAGCGAGCAGGTTAGGTTCACAGAGTCAGTTGCCATGGTGATTGACTGAGTTTGATCATGTGATCACCCACCTGCCTCCTTGGCGAGCGTGCTGGTTGCGTGCACATTGAGATTCACAGCGGCGTCAGTGTGTCTCTCCACAACATCTGGACGTCTCTCAGCTGCACAGTGGACGACCACATCAGGCTGAGACAGAAACAGACATCATCAGAGGACAGTGTCTAGTACAGTCTATAGTAATGTTTAATACTACAGTGTGTAGTACAGTGTGTAGTAGTACAGTGTGTTGTAGTGCAGTGTGTAGTAGTACAGTGTGTAGTAGTGCAGTGTGCAGTAGTGCAGTGTGCAGTAGTACAGTGTGCAGTAGTACAGTGTATAGTAGTGCAGTGTGTAGTAGTACAGTATGTAGTAGCACAGTGTGTAGTAGTGCAGTGTGTAGTAGTGCAGTGTGTAGTGCAGTGTGCAGTGTGCACTAGTACAGTGTGTACTAGTGCAGTGTGTAGTACAGTGTGTAGTGCAGTGTGTACTAGTGCAGTGTGTACTAGTACAGTGTGCAGTAGTGCAGTGTGTACTAGTACAGTGTGTAGTAGTGCAGTGTGCAGTAGTGCAGTGTGCAGTAGTGCAGTGTGTACTAGTACAGTGTGTAGTAGTGCAGTGTGCAGTAGTGCAGTGTGCAGTACAGTGTGTAGTAGTGTGTTTGGTACCTTGTACTCGTGCAGTAGTCCTCTGACGGCATCCTCATCTGTGAGGTCACAGCGGAGGAGGAGGGGCCTGGCTCTTCTGTATCCGGTCCCAATAACCAACCAGCCGTTGTTCTGAAACTCTCTGCACACAGCCCGACCCAGGAGACCTGTTGCCCCGGTAACCAGGACCCTCGGAGCCGTCACCATAGGTTCCTCCTCCTCCTGGAATACAAAGTATTATTATCAGTACCACATTCAGCACTACAATACTATTATCAGCACTACAATACTATTATCAGAACTACATTCAGCACCACAATACTATTATCAGAACTACATTCAGTACTACAATACTATTATCAGAACTACATTC